CCCCCCCCCCCAGCTTCTGCCCCAGAAGAAAAGTTTCTTCAGGGCAATTAAACTATAAAGCAATTGAGAAGTGCAAAGTTGAGCGCCCCCACTCCCACCATCCTTTCTCCACAACCCCCATAAAACAGTAAAAGGGGAAGAAGAAGACCAGTCCAGCGGGGTGAGGGGTTTATGGATTCAGGAAATGTCGCTTAGCGACACCCCCCCTTCAAGGGAAACAAAAAAGAGAGAGAGAGAAAGGAAGGAGAGAAGGATGCTGAGGGGCAGGGAGGGGAGGGGGTCCTCGGTCACTGGTGGGCAGCCCCCAGCCTGCCCAGCCTGGCCTCCGCCCTCCCGGCCCCGGGCCCGCCGCCGCCGGCTCACCTTGCGGGCGCATCCAGGGGAAGAGCTGCGTGGGCGAGGGGCTCTGCTCGGAGCCCTCGGCCTCCTCGGCCAGGCCGCTGGCGGCCGCCAGCTTGCAGTCGGCATACTGCACCAGGTCGGGGTCCTGCGCGCCGAACAGGCTCTGGCGCTGCAGCGGGTCGTAGCCGTAGAAGTTGCCCGGGTCCCCGTGGCACGCCACGGCGCACGGGTTCTGCTGGTAGGGAGCCGTGGACAGCGACGACGGTCCGTGGTAGAACTCCTGGATTTGCGACGGGTGCTGGAAGCTGCCGCCGCTGCTGGGACCGTACACCACGGTGGGTCGGCCGCCCAGGTCCTGGGCAAAGCCGCAGTCATAATAATTGGGGCGCAGGGACTCCCCGGTTTTGTATTTGGAGAACAGTGAGTTGACGAAATAAGAGCTCATTTTATTGAATTTTGAGGCGGCGGCGCGGCGGCGGCGGCTGTAGTTGGGGGCTGTTGGGGAGGGGGTGGGGAGGGGGAAAGGGAGGGAGAGAAAGAAAAAAAACCCGCGGATTCGCCGGCTCCTAGTCACCCTGGCCAGGAAAGGAGAGGGGAAGGGAGGAGGAAAAAAGAAAGAAAGAAAGAAAAGGCGAAGAAGATCTCGAAGCCGCTACACTTTTTGTGATTTCCAGGAATAGAAAAGGACGCAGAAGGCTCCCAAAGTCTAAGCTTGCATGGCAGCCGAGGCTCGCTCGCCCTCCCCCCACCCCCCACCCCCCAAACAAAAATATACCGCCACTTAAAGAGGTCCTCGCTTTACATTTCGAAGAAGGGATGCCAGTTCATAAACAGTTTTCGGTGATTTACTTCCCTGCAAATGAGTTGTTTCATATTTTGCACTGTCTTTTCATGATCATTTGCATCCATTAGAGACCCCGCATCCTATTGGCTTCTCCGTACTCCTCCCGGACAGAACGCAGAGAGAGGGTGAGAGCGAGCGAGCTGAGAGAGCGAGCGAGAGAGAGAGCTAGAGCGAGAGAGCGCCAGGGAGTGAGGAGAGAGCGCAAAAAAAAAAAAAAAAGGAGGAAAAAAAAAAAAACACCAGGGAGAGAGGGGGAGAGAAAAAGGGAGAGGGAGGGGGGAGAGAATGAATACGGATTAAATCTGTTTAACTACCTACATTAATGAGATATCCCTCTTCTCACAACAAATCAAATACCTTCGCAGACCACCCCCAAAGACTGATGTGGGGGAGTCATGGAAAAACACACGCGCGCGCACGCACCGCGCGCGCGCATACACACACACACAGACACACACACACAACGGGCCAGGCGTAGGCACGCTGTTAATTTCGCGATTTTAACGAGGCAGTTGGAGTCTTTCTAAATGTCAGGGTCGCTTCGGAAAAATGTAAAAGAACACGGTTTAATTGCACCGAGTTTTAAAAGGTCCTATAAATGTAATTGGTATTTTAATACAAGTTATCAAATCATACAGCTTCCTCTCCTAAACATATTTTCAAACAAACGAGGTAGTCATATTTAAAGCTTTAATGATCAATTTCCTTATTATTGATAAAGGTTTAACTATCGTGCAGAGGGAATTGACTGGGTAACTGGCCCCCAAAAAACGGCTGTAAACTCTTTAACAAACTATAAAACGCAATAAAGCCCGAGTCTGTTGTTGTTTATGCCGCAGCGCATAAAAGCTGTTAGCATTTTACGATTTCTTTCCTCTACAGCTATAAAACTGCCGCTTCCAGCGCCCCGCCACCCGACTGCAGCACGGTGGGGTGACGAAGCCGAAATGAGAACGATTATGGGGTGGTTTTTTTTTCTCTTCCTCTTCCCTGCACAAACAGCGACTTTTGCTGGGTTTTCTCTACCTTCAGCTAGGGCAAGCACCTGCCCCCACCTTCCTCCCCGGAGACCCCCAAAGCAGCCCACCCTGCTCCACCCACACCACTCATTCAACTTTCCCTCATTAAACAAATAAGGCCGGTTTTCAGTGAAGGGGCTTGGAAGGGCATAAGGAGGGGACCGGACAGGACCGGTGAAGGAGAAGAAACTTTCGGGTTAAGGGACAGTGGTAAAGCTCAGCGCAAAGTTCTCTTGCAACCTCTGATTTTACAGTTTTGTACAATCCCTCTCCTCGGAGAGGGAGTGCTAGAATGGGGGAGAGGGGTCTCCAGAAACTGCTGGGGCCCAGCCAGTGCTTTGGGGGCATCAACTTTGTGTGACTGCCACCAGTGAAGGGACTTTCACTTGGGCTGGCCCACTCTACAGCCCAGGCATTGGGGCCCAGTAACCAAGTCAGCCTTCCAGACGGGTGGCTCTCCTTCACAACTGTGGACCAGGGAAGAGAACTCTAGACCCAGCTGGGCACCTGAGCCCAGGGACCTGGCGTTGGTGCTCACTGACCTCTGCCCTCCCTCGCCCTAGGCTGTGGTTGCAAGGTGCAAGTGTAGGGTAACACCTTTTAATCCTCAGCCTTCCCCAGATCCTTTTGAGCCGCCGGCTCTGCCTCCACAGATCTTGGGGTGAAGGAGATTCAGATGCAGGAAGCCTCGGCTGAGTCTTCTGTTTTTAATGCTCTCCCCTTCGGAAGCAGCTTTCTAAACCCTGCACCCCCTCAGGGCCTTGGGACCTGGGATGTGAAGAAATGGAAGGCAGGACAGTCAGGTTGGGCACCACACACTCAGGCCACTGCCTCACCTATCCACTGGGGTGAGTCTCCTGGCCAGGCTGCACTGAAGGCAATGGTGTCTTGCAGAGCTGATCAGTCAAGGGAAGTGAGGAAGGAAGGAAGGAAGGAAGGAAGGAAGGAAGGAAGGAAGGAAGGAAGGAAGGAAGGAAGGAAAACAGAAACCAGGAAAACAGAGACAGACAGACAGACAGAGGGGGGGGGGCAAGAGCAAATTTCGAGTAACAGAGGTGGAGGCTTCGCAGATACATTGTTTATCCAAGGGAGGTGGTTAGCTTTTTGGAGGGTGCCTTTGGGGACCCTCATAACCCCCACACTTTGTAGAAAATAGCAGTATCGACTTCTCCAAGGGAGAGATGCACACAGCACCAGCGACCCCTCAAAAGTGAATCCGGAGAATGGGCGATGAGTTGGAAGGTAGCTAAAGAGAAGGGGCGAAGGACAGGGAGCTGCCAGGCTCAGGAAGACTCTGCCAGTGGCTGAGGGGAGGCAGCGGCTGGCAGAGGGAAGTTGTTGATGAAGGGAATATTTTTATCAAGTGCGCCAAGTGCGGGGTGGGAGGGTAGTGGTGGAGGGTTGATGGTCATGATTTGAGGACTCACCGGGCGAAGTAGAAATTCAATGGCTTGCTCTAAATCATCCCTATGCTGTGCCAGAAAGTCCTGATGGAAGGAAAATGTTTCTATTATAAGAAAAAACAAGAAAGAGCAAGAAGATAATTTATAAACACCCACCGGAGTGCAGATTTATTGGAACAACTGAAGTTAAGAAGAAACTCACTTGCTTGGTTCTTTGCATTCAGCCCTGGGGGGGAAAGGGGACTGGCTGCGGTGGTTTCAGGAGTGTGTGTGGTGTATGGATGAGTGAGTGGGTGGCTATTCCCCCCACCCCCTAGTTTATCCAGGTAGGGAGCAAGAATTAGGCTGGACCCGGAAGAAATGGGAGACTCAGATTAGCAGGGACTGTGGGCTGGCCACTCGTGCACGCGCGGGGCTCCGAGAGAAGCTTGCCCCATGTCCAGGCCTTCCCGCCAAGCTACCAGGTTTGCTGGGGGTCAGGCTGGTGCTCCCACCTGGAAGCTTGGGGACCTCGGGAGAGGGGAGGGAGATGGCGGGGATGGGGTTGGGTGGGTAATTCTGCTTCCTGCTGCTGCTCCTGCTCCGGTCCATAAAGCGCTCACTGTGGGGGGCAGTCCAACTTAGGGCGCCCTGAGAAAACCAAGGGGTCTCCAGCTCTGGGCCCCAGCCATGGGCACCCACACCACCTCTGCAGCTGCCGCCTGGCCGAGCGCCCTGCCAGTTCTGGGCAATTCCTGTGGGGGAGGGAAAAAATCCAGAATTGGGGATCCCTGGGCTGGCTTCCTCCGGCGGCCCCGCAGTCGGCTGAAGCTCCTCTCCCGCTGACCTCAGCCGCCGACGGGCCTGCCTGCCCGCTCACCTGACTGACCCATCCGCGGCCTTGGCATTCCTCTCGTCCCACCCAGGGAAAATCTGATTTTTAAATGAATGGATTTTTCTCTTTTATGGGGACTCATTCGTTCTACGATGGTTAGGGTTCCCCGCTTGCATGCATCGGTTGCCCCACCACTCGCAGCCAAGTGGACGGAGCTCTCCTCGCAAGGAAATTCCGAAAATGGACCTGCGGGAGGACGGAGGGGGAAACATTACGCGATCTGAAAATCTCTAAAATGTGGGAAACGACTATCAGACACTCTATAATATTTTTATGACTCGCAAATTATTCATGGCTGTCGGGAGCACGCAGTTCACGGACACCCCGGCCGACCGAAGTGCGGCGAGAAGCCGCTGGCGGCCGCAGCCGCCGCATCGGGAACTTTCACGTGGAGCTCGGCTGCCATCTAGCGGCCGCCCTGCGGAAAGGCGCCGCCGCCTCGGGGCCCGGGTTCTCGGAGCGGGAGCCGGTTGTCTGGGCGGCCAGGGAGAGGAACTTTCCTTTTAGCCGAAAAACCAGAGGAAAACCAGAGCAGGCAGGAGAAGGGGCCTCAGAATCAAGAAACGGTTCGTGAAATTTTGCAGATGAGCTTTTTCCTTTAAAGGAGGGGGGAAAAAAGTAGGGAAGAGGAAGCGAATAAAGAAACCACAAACTTCTTGTTTTCGTATTTACGTCCCCACCCTCCAGTCCCCTCATTTCGGACCGCGAAGCAGTGCCCACGTTTGGCCCGTTTTTAAAGGGGGGAAATGAGCAGATTCCAAATTCTACACCTTTGTTTCCAATGTCGAAGGGAAAGAATTGGGCCTTGAGGGGCGGGGGACGGGTGGAGAGGAGACCTGAAAGGGAGGGATGGGACTTAAAAAGGTTCAAGAGGCCGCCCGCGCCCAGACGTCTGACCCCACCGGCCCTGTGCGATGGGGGGGGTGTGTGTGTGTGTGTGTGCTTGTCCTTTGGGACGCCCGGTTCTGGAAGGGGCATGAGGCACAAAGACGACGGGAGTCCTGATTGTGGTGTCTGAAGCATTTGTGGCAGGAAAAGTGTCTTTCCCTGCCGCCTTTTATTTTTTCTTTTGGCCCCTTTTGCCCCCTGCCCCTCCTCCCCCGCCCCCAAGCCCCAGGTCCTGAGCGGGTGAGAGTGGGGGGCTGCTGGGCCCACCCAGTCCCTACCCAGCCAGGAGCCCAGGCCCAGTTGCGGCTCTCAGCTCCGGAAAGTTTCCCCCGCTCCCTGTTTGCTTTGCTGCTGTTTAGTTTCTTAACCTTCAGAAATTTATACGCTATAAACTTTTATAGCGGTCATATTCTTTTATGGCTGCGCACCACGGCATTGAATTCGTCGCCGGGTTTCTGTCTGTCTCGCACTCTCGCAGGCTCTCTGGGAATCTCTCTTTTATGACAACTGCGTCCCCCTCTCCGGCTTCCGAGCCTCCGCAGCTTCCCCCTTTGTCTTTCAAGAAGCCACCGGGCTCTGGACCAGACGCCGCCGCCGCCGTCGCCGCCCAGGGCCCAGCGGGCGTCTGCGCCCCCTGACCCGCCGGCAGCGCTGGGTGCTGGGGCAGCCTCGCCTTTCGCGTCGCCCTGGGTCGGAACCGGCCTTCTCTAAACACAACCTCTCCCGCGGGCCGTCCGTCCAGGGTGCGTCTCCGCAGAAGCTTCGCTTTCTCCGGCCTCAGGCTCCCTCTGATGCTGGCATCCTTTCGTTCCAGGGGGGTAGGCCTCGCTGATTTCTTCGTTTCTAGGGTTCTCTCTCTCTCTCTCTCTGGTCTTGCTGTATCCCCACCTTTAACCCATCGTCAGGGAGGGTTCCCTCAGGCCTGGCATCGCTGGGGTGGGCCCGGCGGGGGAACTGGGGTAGGGGCGGCTCCCTCCTGAGCACCAGCCCACAGAGGCAGACTCCTCACCCTGGGGGGAGAGAGCGGGGCTGCTCGGAGCTTAGGGCTTCGGTGAGAGGTTCCCGCTGGGACAGGGACTGGCCGGCTAAGGGGAGGGCAGGAAGGTGCCTCTGGGAATGAGTTTCCTCCTGAGGTCACATTAGAAAAGGGACATTGATTTTCTCCAGCCACATTTCTGTTTCTCATTCAACCCTTTCCTGCGGCTGGGAGATCTGGGTCCCCAAGCTCAGCCTCAGACCTAAGTTCCATCGGGGGCCCTACCCCAAGTGGGTGCGGGGAACCCTGAGAGGGGATGCTCCCTGGCAGCAGCAGAGGAGCCAGGCCCTCCCCCGGCGTCTGGCCCCAGACAGCCGCCAGGAAGGGAAGTTGCTGCTTTCCTTGAAAGCGGCTCAGCCCAGGTGACTGTCTCAGCCCGAGGATGGAGGGATCGCAGGACCTTTAGTTGGGCTCAGGCCGTGGGGAAGTCTCCAGCCAACTTGGGGGAAGACTGGTTTGCTGACGGAACACAGCACCTTCGCCAGTCTATCACCCTTTCCTCCTTCCTCATCACCCCTCCAGTAGTCCCCTGGGCAAACCCTCCTGTGAGCAGGAACCTGGGCGAGAGCCACCCCCCCAGCCAGCAGGCGGACCCCTGGGAAGCCTGCCCTACCAGACCTGGGGAGGAAGCCCTGCTGGCAAGGCAGATATCCACCCAAGCCGGGTGGGAACAGCCAACACAGAATAAGACACAAAGAGAGATTTATTTTCTAGAGTGATATATATTTTTTGTTTTTTTTTTTTCTTCCCAAAATGAACAATCAGAGCGCTAGGTCCCTTTAACCTTCCCACCCCACCCCCACCCCTCCCAAATAAGAGACAACTCAAAACAGGCGAGACAATCACCCCCAAAGAAATCACAAAAACACAAGCACATTTTCACGACAGCCACTGACAAAAGCGCAGAGTTCTACAGAAAGGCCTGGAGGGGCAGGAGCGAGAGTCCACGAGACTGGAGGGGCTGACTGGATGGGGGAACAGGGGTGCCTGGGGAGCAGAGGAAGCCAGCCTGGTGGCTTAGGTGCCTTTCTGCCTTTCCTTGGCACGCAGGACTGTTCCCCGGCGAGGCAGTGCGCTCGCCAGCCTGGCAAAGCGGCCTCCAGGCGGGAGTCACACCAGGCAGAGGCCAGCATTGGGGACTGCTCCTGTCTTGTGCTGGGGCGGTGGCCACCAGGCCAGGGACTCCTCTGCGTGGGTCCCAGCGGAGGTGGGCAGGAGGACAGGGCCCTGCTCCTCAGCGCGCTGGGGCCACTCCTCTCTGTGCCCCACAACTTCCTCGGAGAAGGGAGCTCAGGAATTGATTCCCAATAAATTCTCCATCAGACTCTCCTGAGCTGGCCTTCCTGCCTACAGTGGGACTGAGGCTAGCAGGGGGTGGAGGCTGAAGGGGTTTTTCTATCAGGAGTGGCTGGTGCTCAGGGAGGTGGCCGCCAGAATGAACTCGGAGCCGGTCAAGAAAGAGCAAGGCAGGGCAGTAGAGAGCAGGACCAGCTACCAGCTCTATCAAGTGGGGGAGCCCGGGAGAAGCGGAAGGACCACCTGGTCAAGGTTCCCCGACCCACAATGTGACCTTTTGTTGGAAGGAGAGGGAAGCGTCATGCAGAATTAAACACTTCCTGCAACACTGAGTGTTGGAGGCAAAGCCAGCCCCCACCCCCACTCTGTCCCAGCCCTTCCCTGTCCACCTGGCTTGAGGAACTGGGGGTGGGGTGAGGGGGTGACTCCACCTGCCTGGTGGGAATTCCTTGGAGGTGGTCTTGGGAGATGGTCCCACTGGGCTTCAATTCAGTACCCTCTTCTGGAGGGATGGCCTCACTAGCCATCTTCCTGGTGTGCACTTGCACCAGGGATGGAACCCTGGCTGGCCTAATGGTCTCTGACTGTTCTGTCAGGTTGTACCCCAGGCTTAGAGTGTGACAGCCTATATTGGGGGTGTCACTCCCTTTGAGTGAAGTAGGGGCTGTGCACATTTCTTGTTATTGCTGTGTGTATGCAGGTGGGGCTGGGTGCAACTGGAGTATCCCTGGGTGACTTTTGGGATGGGTGCGGGAAGGAAACAGGCAAGCAGAAAGTGAGGGCTGGGGCTCCCCAGAAAAGTTAGGGGCTTGGCTAGGGCCTCTCTTTTCCTTGTGGTCCATCATGTTAGTGTTAGTACACTTACTACTTCTACCTTCTAACTCAACAAAACTTAATCCTGAGGCCAGGGGAGAAGAGAGAAACAGGTGAGGGAGAAGGGAAGGAGAGAAAGTCTGGGTGCAGAGAAAGACCCCTTCCCCATTCACTTGACTGCACCCCAGATAGCACTGGCTTTGCAGCCACCACTTATAAATAAGAGCCGGGGAAGGGGTGAGGGCACTGGGGGAGCTTTACTCTTTGCCCTGCTCCTTATTCATTTTCTTCATTTTCATCCGTCGGTTCTGAAACCAGATTTTGACTTGTCTCTCACTCAGATTGAGGAGTCTGGCCACTTCATGCCTACGGTCCCTGGTGAGGTACATATTGAACAGAAATTCCTTCTCTAGCTCCAGCGTCTGGTATTTGGTGTAGGGACAGCGCTTTTTCCGGGAAGAGCGAGCGTGCAGCCAGTTGGCGGAGGGGTTGGCTGAAAGAGAAGCAGGGATAGAATCAAAGAGAGGAAGAGGGGGGTGATGAAGGGCCCTCAGTGGGGTACTTATTTGAGGGTGTACCCCTGATCTCCATGCCTCATTTGACACTGGAGAAGGGGGCACCTGGGCCTTCCCCCCGCTCCCTTCTGGTCTCAGGCAAGGGCCAGCATCAGCCCTGGCCATCTCCAGAGGAGAGTTTCTTTGGAGAGAACTGAGGCAAATATGTACCCCGGGGATGGCCAAAGCCTTGCCTGCCTCAAGTTCTCCCTCCATCTTTCTCTCTGCTTTGATTCAAGCTGGTCAGAGCCGGCATGAAACCCCTACAGCACCAACAGCCTGGCAAGGGGTGCCTGAGCTGAAAAGGATGCTGATTCCAGCTCTGGGAGTTGAGAGGAGGAGTTGGGGGTGCTTCTGTCCGTCTGGCCACAGCCAAGAGTCTTCCCAACCCTCTGGTGGGAACACAACCCTGCCAGGAGCACAAGCAGGCTTCCCTTGGCCACATGGCAGCAGGCATGTGTGTCTGTGTAGATACCCCTCCCCGCCACCACACACCTCCCCCCCTGCCTATATACGGGTGGGTCCTGCACTGCACTTACAGACTCTAACATCCAGCACTCTCCAGTTCACATGCAAGCCGATTGCAACCATTTATCAACTTCCGCCTATGAACAGGGAGTGCCGGGGGCTCCCAGATAACTTATGGTTGCAATAGTCTTCCTTTTCTGCTCCTGCCCAGCTCGCAGTTTGGTTAACGCCAGTTCAGGGAAATTGGAGAGCAAGATTGCTCCAGTCCCAAGGTGAGGAGCCACGGATGAGTGGGGAGAACAGGCCCGCGTGGGGCAGCAGAGAGGGGGCTAACAGAGTAACGGGAGTGAGAAAGAGGAAGCAGAAATCCACATCACTTCTCCTTAACCCCCCCCCCACCTTTGGAACTTGGAAAAGACTCCAATTGAAAGCCAAGCCGGCTCATGAGGACAGCCACCCTGGACTCCGCTAGCTTTCTCCTTCCCAGATGGGAAGCATTGGATACTAGAACGAAAAACAAAACCAAAAACAATCTGGTTCGTCTTACACTAAGTACCTTGTCTTAACAACATGCAGCACTATTTTCCTTACTGTGATGGCTGGGAGGGGACCCACAGTCACATTAAATATGAAAGGGGGGTTGGTTAATAATTGATCCTGGCCAAATGGTGCCCTTGTAATAATGGGCTTCCCAGGCAGAGATTGGGGTACAGGGTCAGCTCCAGCGTGTGCTCGGAGAGGGTTTGGAAAGAGCCCTGTTCCCTAAATACCAGCTCTTGTGACTCATCCTGACAGGTTGGAGGTGCCGCAAACTGCAGGGGCCTCAGAGAAGAGGGGCAGCGGGGGCAGGGGCTACAGGGGTGGGCGGCAAACCTAGCAGAGTAAATCTAGAGGGGAAATATCTGAGCCCCACTCCCTAGCAGGAGCGAGGAGGCGGACCTGCCCCCGCCAGACTTTGGCTGAGGGTTTGGGGCTAAAAGCCCCTAAAGGATTTGCCCTTCTGGATCTGAGGAAGAGGGGTGAGGGTGGGGGTAGACGAGAAAGAAAATCAGACCTGAGGCATCTCCCCAGCGGCGCACACCACCTCCTGGAAAGGAGCCAGACTGGAGATGCAGACTCACTCGGGATGCTTGGCGGGGGCATGGGAGGTGAGGAAAAGTCCCCCCAGAGGGGAAAGTTCTCCGCCTCCGCACACATCCTCAATCCCCCCAACCTGCCCCAGGGTCCCTTCGGGATCTGGCCGGTTCCCGGGGCTGACTGGCCTGGAAGT